GGGCTTAGTTGCCTCAAGGCCTGTGGGATCTTCCCGGACCAGGGATCAAACTCCTGTCTCCCGCATTGGCAGGTGGATTCTTAACAACTGGAACACCAGGAAAGCCTCCCGTAAGCGTCTTTTAAATGCCCTGATTGTGTATCAGGGAGCGTTAGGGACAGACCTCACTGTATCCAGACTTCGACGGTTTCAGCTGGCAGAACAGTGCTTTCCAGGATTCTAAAGAAAGAAGCTGGTCTGTTCTGGGTGTGTGGGGTAGGGGGGCAGTCATTTGCTCTGCCCTGGAAGGGAGGCGTTGTAAGCTCTCCCAAGCTCTTGTAGGTGTCAGTCAACTAATACCTGAGCCCTGTCCTGGGGGTAACTCTTGACTTTGGTGAACTTAATGCAGATGTTAAGAATTTGCTTTCCTAATATAAAAATCTGCCCTTCTGAGGGGCCAGGGAAAGTCTAAGTTTACAAAAGATTCCTCCATCTAGTACTAAGCCTTACCAGCCTCAAGTATCTTTAACTCAGCCTTGATTAAAATCGAGACCAAAGACCACATAGACTTCTGTGGCAGGAACTTTAAGAGGCTCCAGGTGTTTCTGAGAACGCAGAGCCCTGAATCAACAGATTGCCTTTATTAGAAGGATAAGGTTGATGGAATAGTGACATGTGAGCTGTCCTTTATTTTAGATCAAATCTGTTTGTTTTGCGCCTTGTCATCATAAATTTGAGATTCTAAGCTTTGACTAAGTAAACAAGTAATAATGAAAGATTTAATACCTCCAAAGACTACTGACTTTCCAGGACTATGACTATTTGTCATAGAAAACTATGTTTGTTAAAATGTTACTGTAGAAAACTGTTTATAAATTTTATTTGTTGTAGCAGATTGATTTATGCCCCAACCTTCAGATGACGATCATCCCCCTCTCTGTTTAATTTATCCAGTTTAAACCACTTTGCAAACTGCCTCAGAAACAGAAAAAGCGGTGAAAAGCATTCATCAGCACAAAAAGGTTACTAGTTAAATAAAATGAATGAACAGTGCCAACAATGAACTTTAAAACACAAGTCAGAATCTCAGTTTTTTCCACAACACCAACCTTCAGCTTGCGAAGAAGTGTTGCTGACTCCTTCCTGGACGTCTAAGTCTGATCTGTGTAACAGATATTTTTAAAGTTAATTTTATTATTTTTCTTACTGGCTCTACTGCGTCTTGGTTGCTGCTCTCGGGCCTTCTCTAGATACGGCGAGTGGGCACTTCTCTCTAGTTGTGGGGCGCAGACTTCTCTTTGTGGTGGCTTCTCTTATTGCAGAGCTCTGGGGTGCACAGGCTTCAGTAATTGCAGCACGTGGGCTCAATAGTTCCAGTTCCCAGAGTCTACGGCACAGGCTCAACAGCTGTGGCAAACGGGCTCAGTTGCTCTGTGGCATGTGGGATCTTCCCAGACCAGGGATCCCCTGCCTTGGCAGGTGGATTCTTAGCCACTGGACCACCAGGGAAGTCCTGATGTGTGCTAACAATTATCCAGGAACTTGGCAGTTGAAGGCAACTAAGTCACGTTATTTCCTATTTCCCATCAGAAATCTTGGGTGCAACCTAGCCACGTCCTTCTGCTGCAGGGTCTCAGGAGGACTCTGTCAAGCGTCACCTGGGGTGTGGTCTCATCCAAAAGCTCGCCCAGGGCGAATCTCTTCCAGGTGTGCCCACGTGCCCGTGGCAGGTTTCAATCCCTTTCGGGTGCTGCAGGGGGGGGCCTCGGGTCTTCACAGGGTGTTGGCCAGAGACCTCCCTCAGTCCCTTGCCACGTTTGGGCTACTCATCTTGGGAGCCTTTTCCCTTCAGGACATGCGCTCCAAGAGAGAGTGAGGGAGAGCAAGCAAGATGGAAGTCGGGGTCTTTTGTTTTGTATTGTTTTCACTTAACCTCTCTCCTTTTCAGAACTACTGCGTTGAGGTGTGAAGACATGTGAAAAGCTGTACATATTCAGTGCGTCCAACTCAGAGCTGGGGGATAACTTTACACCTGTGAAACCATCACTCCCATAGACATCTATTATAAATGTGCATCTCCTCGTGAACTTCCTTTCTGCCCACTTTATTTTGTTGTTTTTGTTATTGTGTGTGTGTGATGATGACACTTAAGATCTACCTTCTTAGCAAATTTTAAGTCTCCAATACAGTGTTGTTAACTGTAGGCACCATCCTATATGGAAGATAGAACTTATTTATCTTGCATAACTGAAACTTTTTTGTTGTTTGGTCACTAAGTCCTGTCCATGTCTTTGTGACCCCATGAACTACAGCACGCCAGGCTTCCCTGTCCTTCACTATCTCCTGGAGTTTGCTCAAACCCATGTCCATTGAGTCAGAGATGCTGTCCAACCATCTCATCCTCTGTCATCCCCCTCTCCTGTTGCCTTCAATCTTTCCCAGCATCAGGGTCTTTTCCAATGAATCAGCTCTTTGCGTCAGGTGGCCAAAGTATTGGAGCTTATCGCCTCCCTGTTTTTCTCATCCCCACCCCCAGGCCCTAGAAACCACCATTCTACTCTCTGCTTCTATGAATTTGACTATTTTGGATTCCACATATAAGTGAGATCATGCAGTGTTTGTCTTTCTGTGTCTGGCTTCTTGCATTTAGCGTAGTGTCCTCCAGGTCCATCTATATTGTCCCAAATGGCAGGGTTTCCTTTCTTAGGGCTGAATAATATTCCCCTGTGTGTAAACACCACATTTTCTTTGTCCATTTGTCCATCAAGGAGCATTTAGGTTGTTTTCATAGCATACCCCAGGATATGCATACAGTCTCTGGAGGCTCATCTCATAACTGTATTCTGCTTATTAGAGGCAAGTCAGTCGCTAAGCAGGTCTAGATCCAGCCCACAGTCAAGGGGAGGAGATCACACAGGATGTGAATATCAGGAGTCAGGGGTCTTTGGGAGCATTCTGGATTCATTCTGCCACGAGTAGTAAGGGCTCAATGAATGTGAGTCAAATTTGTGGTAGTGTTGAGCTGCTGTCCTTGGTAATGGGATGCACACAACAGGGTTTCATAGTCCTTGTTCAGACTGAGTTCAGGCCGGTGGTGATTTGACTGAACAGCTAGGATTCTGAGCTGTCGGTCAGGAACCGGCAGATTAGCACACACGTACAGTTTGTTCTGGCAAGTAGGTGTAGGTAGTTTTGTTTGTTTACATGCTTGTCTTCTTAAGCTCTGGAAAAGGAGGAAGAAAAGGAAGGGAGACCTAAAGCCTGAGACCCACTCTTGAGGTGATAGTAAGCCAGGCATGGTGGGTGGGAGGGTGACCGTGGAATTTCAAAAGCTTGTGTGCGACATCTGGATCTCAGCTTAAATGACACCACCTCTCTGTGCATCCAGTTTAAATTAGCCATTGTGTGCTGGGCCAAGTCAATTCAGTCATGTCCAACTCTTTGCGACCCTGTGGACTGTAGCCCACCAGGCTCCTCTGTCCATGGGATTTCCCAGGCAAGAGTGCTGGAGTGGGTTGCCATGCCCTCCCTAGGGGATCTTCCCAATCCAGGGATCAAACTCTTATCTCTTACATCTCCTGCATTGGCAGGTAGATTCTTTGCCACTTGCGCCACCTTCCCCCTTAATCCTCTGCAGAGCCCTTAGCACCCTCCGGCTGCCCTCTGTGTGTGTCCTTATTTGCTGTCTCCCCTGAGAACGAAGCTCAAGAGAGCCGGGACCTCACCTGTGTTGGTCCTCTCGTGTGTCATCAGCACATCACACAGGGCCTGGCAAACAGTAGGCTTTCCGTAAATATCGAGTAAATGGGTGAGATGAACACAGAGATGTGAAATGATTCCAGGGGGCTTTCTGGAAATTCTAGTATCCTCCTGACCTCCAGAGCAAATGCCGTTTATGCAGCTCACCTGCAAAATACAGTCATTTGTTCAAAAGAAGAAGATAGTCTCAAGGTCACAGAGTAGTTCTGCCCTTGCAGCTGATGGCTGGTGGCCGTCAGGCAAGTCTTGTCACCTCTCTGGGCCAAGGATAAAATCTGGGCTGATGAGTGAGTGAATGTGTTCAGGCTGCTCTGTCCCTAGAGCCCATTTGGGCAGAGGAGGCTACGTGTTTCCATTGGTCTGCCATGTGTGATTTTGTTTGAAGGAAGGATTCTGTGGCCAAAGAGATGCTTGAAGCCACAGTTTGAAACCTCTGTGCCCACTGATGGGCATTCCAGCTCTGCAAATGCAGACACTGCTGGCAGATTAGGGTAGAGGCCTGTGGCCCCCACGGCTTTAGCAAAACCAGTAGGCAGGGCAGTCTGATAACCTACCTTGAGGTGATATAAGTGCTTTCCAGGAACATAAGGAATTAAAGATTCTGGTTCCCCCACCCTGACCCACAGCCTCACACCTCACCTATGCCCACATCATGCTGCCTTGGAAATGTTAGCGTCTTTTTTTTTCTCCCCCCCACATTAACTAAGATTTCATTTTTGGCACTGCCTTTCCAACCAGATAGCCAGAGCTTCTGAACTCCAAGTTTTGTAATTAAATTTCTGTCACATCCCTTGAAACAGCGCAAATTATGCCATTAAGCCTGGTGTAAAAGATTTGACAGCACTTCACCTAGTCATTTAAACATAATACTTCTGGCAACTTTCAATTTGCAATATTTTAAATTCTAATTAAAAAACTATTGAGCATTAATATGCTCTATACAGCATGCCGTGATACCTCTGTGCTTCATCTTGGCCATCTAGTTTTTAAAGAAACAGCTTGGTTGTGTGACTCTTAACAGCCCACGTGGGTTTTTTTTTTTTTCTCCCAGCCTTTGGGAATCACTGGGTCCCAGGCATAATTAGTATAAATCAAAATCCTCTAGCTGATGACAGGAAAATGGTATGTTTGAACAGCAGCTTATTAAAATGACCTACTTAATTTAAGAAAAATATTGTATCCACTCACACAATAACCTGGATGCTTTCCCTGACAGATTTTATAATATTTCTTCTCTCCTTTTCTTTCTTTTTCTTTTTAAGAAAAGGAAAGGGAATGGAAAGGCCCATTCTACTTCATCCAAGGTGCAGACCCCCAGTTTGGACTGATGAAGGCCTGGGCCACTGGGGACTGTGACAACGGTGGTGATGAGTGGGAACAGGAGATCCGTCTGGCTGAGCAAGCAGTCCAGGCTATCAACAAACTGAACCCCAAGCCCAAATTCTTTGTTCTGTGCGGGGACCTCGTCCACGCCATGCCAGGTAAGACTCGGGCTATCGCTGTGATCTTATCTCCTTCCCTAAAAAAAAAAAATCTCTCTTAAAAGACATCTCTGCTCAGTAAGGGCTCATTCCTTTCTCTTCACAGTGGTTGCAGGATTGTCAAACATCAGAAAATACACACTCATTTTAGTTTTAGAATATGGCAAGGTTAATCACAGTAATAAGGCAGAGCCACGGTTCTGATTATCTGTGCTTCCTATGAAAAATAGAACAGATTCCCACGTGTCACCTTTCTTCACTTACAAGAGACAAACTTGAATTGCTTTCAGATCCCACATCCATAAACATAATCTTCTCCTTTCGTTTCCCTCTTTCTTATGCTTTTATTTCTCCTGTCTTTGTTCGTGCTTTTTCAGTTTCAAATGACAAGCTAACTTGAACTGGATTAATTTTTTTTAAGTTTGTGTTACCTTGCACGTGTGCTAAGTTGCTTCAGTTGTGTCCGACTCTTTGCGATGCTATAGACTGGAGCCTATCAGGCTCCTCTGTCCATGGGATTCTCCAGGCAAGAATACTGGAGTGGGTCGCCTCGCCCTTCTCCAGGGGGTTGTTACTTTCTGGTACTGTAAAGTCCAGGGGCAAGTTTGGGCTTCAGGAATGGCTGGATCCAGGGGCTCAGAAGTTGCTCTCAGGCCTCCATCTCTTCCTCTCTCAGCCCTGCTTTCCTCTTGAGTTTAATTCATTCTCCTGCAGGCATTCTCTAGGTAGTGGTTCCTGGGAGCTCTAGATTTATGTCCTTCTAACTGAAACCACAGCAGAAAGAAAGTGCCTTGTTCTTGATGGCCCAGTCAAAGTTCCAGACCAATGTCCATCCAGCTCACACAGCCCCGTGAAGCCAGGATATGGGAGCAGTTCCATGGCAGCCAAGTGATCAGAAGAATAGGATGGTTCCCCTCAAGAAAAAGTGAGATACTAGGAATGTGAACGTAGCAGATACCTTCTAGAACTCTCCTCCTTTTTAAATTTCCCTTTCCTACTCTGACATCATTCTCTCCAGGCAAGGATAAAACCCAGTGAGCAAGTATGATTAAGCAAGTGGAAACCACCCCTGCTCATCTGGGAGGCAGAGAAGGCACCTTTGATCACTCTCATATTTGTCCTGGTCTCTGCTTAACGAACAGAGTTGACCCAAAGACCACTGCAGAAAATGCTGCAGCTGCTGTGGGTGTTTGTTTTGGCTAATGTTACCTTGTAAACCCAGACTCTTTGCGTCTTGCTATGATTTACTTATTCATTATTATTATTTTCTTTTTGGTCACACCATGTAGCATGTGGGATCTTATTTCCCTGGCCAGGGATTAAACTTGTGCCACCTGCAGTGAAAGCGCAGAGTCTTAACCACTGAACCTCCAGGGAAGTCCCCAAGTCCTGCTGTGATGTCTGGCGCCTTTAGAAGCCGAGGCCGTCTATAGCAAGCCCGGGTGCCTTCTTTCCTCCCCACCAGGGCTCTCTTGTCCGGCAGCCTACCTATCCAGAGCAGTCCAGGGTGAACGTGTGAGGATGGAAGAGAGGCTGCCCAGAATCGCTCTCCCTGAAGTCCAGGGAGTGTGGCCAGCAGGGAGAACCCTCAGATCGTCACACATTCCCCATTGGCTCATGTTTTACACGAAGTCACGATTGTGGACATACTCGCTTCCTTGACTCCCCCTGGAAAGCCCAGTGATGTCATCCCTGGGGAAGCAGCCTGTCCTGCTCTTTGTTGTTCTTGTTTAGTTGCCAAGTCGTGTCCAACTCTTTGCAACCCCTTGAACTGTAGTGCACGTGACTCCTCTGTCCTCCACTATCTCCCAGAGTTTCCTCAAACTCAGGCCCGTTGAGTTGTTGATGCTGTCTTACCATCTCATACCTTATTGCCCCCTTCTGTCGCCTTCAGTCTTTCCCAGCATCAGGGTCTTTTCCAGTTAGTCAGCTCTTCACATCAGGTGGCCAAAGGATTGGAAAAGCTTCAGCTTCAGCATCAGTCCTTCCAATAAATATTCAGGACTGATTTCCTTTAGGATTGACTGGTTTGCTCTCCTTGCAGTCCAAGGAACTCTCAAGAGTCTTTTCCAACACCCCAGTTCAAAAGCATCTATTCTTCAGTGATCAGCCTTGCTTATGGGCCAACTCTCACATCCATACATGACTACTGGAAAAACCATAGCTTTGACCATACAGATCTCTGCCAAGGTGATGTCTTTGCTTTTTAATATGCTGTCTAGGTTTGTCATAGCTTTCCTTCTAAGGAGCAAGCGTCTTTTAATTTCATGGCTACAGTCACTGGATGGAAAAGGGGGATGACAAGACGGTGGACCAAGCCCTGCATTAGGGCTCACGTGGCCCAGATGCCAGCTCCATATCTGCCCCTGATGCACTGGGGACACTTGGCCAGACCCCTTACCTTATTATTTTTAAACCTTATTTTAGCTGTTATTTTTGGCTGCGCTGGGTCTTTGTTGCTGCACGCGGGCTTTCTCTATTTACCCTGAGCGGGGGCTAATCTCTAGTAACAGCGTGCAGGTTTCTCTCTTCACAGAGCGTGGGCTCTAGGCACGCAGGCTCAGTAATTGTAGCAGATGGGCTTGGTTGTCCTGAGCCGTGTGGGAATCTTCCCATACCAGGGATCAAATCCATGTGCCCTGTGTTGGCAGGAGGATTCTTAACCACTGGACCACCAGGGAAGTCCGCTGCTCACCTCCTTAAAGCCTCAGTTTCTGAGTCCAGAACTCACTGATGGCAGTTAGAATCTGAAACCTCAACAGTCTGGGGCAACCCAGCACAGGGCAGAGACTCTATACCTCCTGTGCATGCGAGCATCTCAGCAGCTTGGTACAGAAATGCATTCTCAGGATGGTGCTGAGTTTTGTAGAGAGGTAAAACCCTTAGCTGCCAATGAACTTGACCACCCTTGGTGACTCTTGGCTGAGGGTTCCCCTGTGCTGGGATCATACAGGTCCAAAGTGACCACAGAGCACCCCAGTTTCAAAAGGAATTAGAAATCACAGCAGGACTCAAGAGTCTTAGTTTACAAGGTAAATGCCACTTCCAAATGGTCTGATTTGCAGTCAGCTGGTTTGTCTGGACCCATTTGGCCCGATAAATAATATAGCATCAGCTTGAGCTCTCAGTCTGGACCACACAGTGAGCCAACTTCTGCTTTTATTGGACACTTGAAACAGATTCCAAATTTACTGCTTTTCTGTCCAGTGTTTTTTTTTTTCCTTTGAAAATAGAATATTATGAGACTCACTGGGATTATATAACATGTTCTTGTGGATGTTTACTGACTTTTCTGAATTATGTTAATGTATTCAGTCTTTTCAAAATAAGTTTTAAAATAAAAGCATTCTATGTGATTACGTTGCTTCTTAAATAAAGTATACTGAACATAAGTAAATGTAAAGATAGAATTTTTATGGTCAACCCTACCAGTTGGTCAGAAGACCTCGAAAATGTAAACTGGGAAACTTTTGAGAACTGGTTTTATATTCAGTGTGACCCAAGGAGAATTTGTGTCTGTTTTGAAGATTTGGACTATTCTGTGGAATTGTAACTGAGCCAGTGAAAGGACTGTTCTGAATATTGTGGTCTGAGGCTTAAACAGAATGTTTTTGAAACTCATTACCATTTTTTTGCATTTAATTGCATTTTTTAATATGCAGTTGGTGGCTTTCCCCTCATTTAGCTCGTACACAGGGGCAGACACTAGAAAAGTAATTATTTGCTTTGACCGCTTAGCACCATTGTTAATTATCAAATGCATATATTAATAGGCAAGTAAAATCAGAGAACATACTTTTAATTCTACCATAAATATTATCTTGGGCCAAGTAGTTTTAAGTTCAAGACAGAGAAAAAAAAACTTTACAAGTAATGCTTTTTCTAATGGAAGTCTTTATGTTTTTTCATTCTAAATATCCATCATACTATCCATTCATCTGCAAACATTTATTGTCTGCAAACTAAGTACCAGTTATAGCACTATGACGCTGTGAATGCAATAGTTAGAAATGAGAGACAAGCCCTTCCAAGGAGCTTGGAGTCTAGCAACGGAAGTGCAGAACCCAGGATGGTTAAGAGGTACTGTTGGTGCCAAGACCTGCAGGAAAAAGCCTAAGAAATGCTGGACGAAGCCCATTTAGTTTTGAAACATGTTTTCCTTCTGCTGACATCTTTTAGGTTATCTTGGTATTTTTCTTATTTTGTAAAGCTTCTCTGTGGGATAAACCATATTATAAGTAGCAAATGAAGACCTGTACCAATATTGAGACCATTGATTTTTCAGTCCTTCACTCTTGAGCCCAGGGTGACTTTCTCTGGCCCTCCTGACGTGGAGGCATTGACCTGCTGATGCAGTCCCCAGGAGCCACGTGAAGTTTCAGCAGTTACTGTGAGAAGCCGACAAATGGGGTTGTGATGATACCGTTAAAGCACAGGAGAGTCCCTCCAGCCTTTGGAACCGCTTGTTATTAACACATGTGTCTGTCCCTGTTTGGTAACAAGGGCTCTAACCAAAGAAACAGATAATGGGGAGGAATTCTTCCCTCAGTACAGTCTCCTTGAAGAGTTCTTTGTTTACTGACCTTCACTGGGACAGCTGTGACATGATGTCATTTGGGCAGCTGTTACATGATGCCTCTTCATTGATTCAGCCTCCGAAGTCCCCTGTGACATTTTTATGTAATGAGGCAAGCCTGTGTTGTTGTTGTTGTTTGGTTGCTCGGTCATGTCTGACTCTTTGCCACCGCATGGACTACAGCACGCCAGGCTTCCCTGTCCTCAGCATCTCCCGGAGTTTGCTCAAACACGTGTCCATTGAGTCAGTGATGCCATCCAACCATCTCGTCCTCTGTTGTCCCCTTCTCCTCCTGTTTTCAATTTCTCAGCATCAGGGTGTTTTCTAATGAGTTGGGTCTTCACATCGTGTGGCCAAAGTATTGAAGCTTCGGCTTCAGCTTCAATCCTACCAATGAATATTCAGGACTGATTTCCTTTAGGGT